ACTAAATATTAAAAATTTATAATATTATAATAAAATATAATTTTTAAATTGATTGACCAGATACTTTTGATAAGGTAATGTATATACATGTAGAAATCGTCATGGTAAATTTGTATTTTTTATCATTTACAAATGTCTTCAAAGTATATTTAAAATCTGAATTACTTTTGATTTTGAAATCAATATCTTTAATAATAAAATCAATGTTATAAGTGTCAATTCCTTTAAAGATATCTTTAAATTCTTCTTTGATTCTCTTTTTCATGTTTAAATATATAGAATTTGGTGTTAGTTGAAAAATAACCTTAATTGACCTTTTTTTAAAGATTGTATTACATTTATATCCAATTTAAAAGAAATCTAAATAAAATATTAAAGTGTTAGATTTAAGTTTATTATAAAGAAATTCACTCAAATACAACTAATTCATTCAAACACAACTTATTATCTACCTGAAATTTTAATGCAAAAAAGAAAAAATAAATAAAAATATAAGTTAGTATATCATAAGCAGTATATAAAATGATTACTTAAAATGAATAAATAAATAAATAAACGGAAAATAATTTTTTGTATATTTTTTTCAATTTGTTCATTACCTTTTTCATCAGTAAATTCAGCTAGTTTATCCTACAATTTTATTGTCTGATTCTCCCACTTCATCTTTATCATTTTCAACTTCTCCTTTACTCTTTTATTATATTTTTTCACCTATTCTTCTATTTTTCACTCTTCCATTCTTTGCCATCCAATTTTCTCTCTAAATTATCTAAACTTTTTCCCTTTTTTCCTTTTTTCCATTTTTTCAATTTCTTTTTTGCCTTTTAATACTCTTTTTTTACTTCTTTTAACTCTTCTTTAATTTCTTCATGTGTTGTCATTTTTTAATTTCTTTTTATTGATATTTGATTAATCAAATTAGTTAATCAATTATTTCAAATTTTTTTAAAAAAAAATTAATCCTTTTAGGAATAATTGGTAAAATATAATTTGATTTGAAGGCTGAATTGCTGAATTCATTTTTGATAGAAGTTGACAGAAGCTAAACAAAATTCTAACTCAAATGTAACAAATAAACCTAATCAAAAAATATTGAAAACTTTATGTTCACTTATTTGAAATGGTAAGCTATATTTCCTTTAAAAAAAAAGGGAAATCTTAACCTATTTCAGAAGGTTTATGCTATTTATTCTGTATTTTACTAGATTTCATGTGATCTATTATATACTTATCATACTACATTATATTGCATTATTTTTAAATAATGATTATCTATTATATATCACTTGTATTATTATTTACCTGTTACAGCCACTTTTCTTTTTTTCTTAAATAAAATGAAAGACAAAACATATAATAATAGTGATTCAGTAGTCTCTGAATATTCCATATCTTCTGAGTCTTCTAAGACTTCTAAAAACATATTTATTTCAAGTATAGAAGAACTAAATAAAAGTAATATTTACTTCTTTGAAGAAACTTTATTAATGTAATTAGAATATATGCAAAATAAAAGGTTTTCAAATTTGTTTAGAAAAATATGAGAAAAATGTTACAGGTCAAATATATAAAAGAATAGCTATTTGCAATAAAGAAGATTCTTCTAATAAAATTTAGATAGATTATATAAAAGAAAAAGAGCTTTACAGTGTTATAATTGTCAGTTTGTGATCTGTGCCTTCCTTAATTTAAATAATAGACTTTGATACATAATTTTTTTACACTTAAAACATAACTATGCTATAGTTTTAAAAAGTTCTTGTCAATTTATATCTGAAGTATGAATAATTCTAATTAAGATTAAGAAAAAAATCCTTCTTTTTCGTCATGCTGAATATGATATTTCAATAATTTGTATAATATTAAAAAAGAGTTTGCTGATATTTTAACTTAGATTTATAATGATTTATATAATTTTATTTATCACGAAGAAGGAATAAGAAGAGAATTTAAATTTTAATAATTTTGTAGAAGTATTAGAACAGCTAAAATCTCAAAATAATGAATTTCAATATGAGGTAAAGATTCTAAGACAAATGAACTACAGTAAGCCATTTGGATATATCCAGAATAAAAAATAAACTATTATCAATTTAATGATATAGTTGTTTTTAATAATATTATAAATAAATAGGTTTAAAATATCTTTTAGAATATTCACAAGTATTAACAATTATAGGCAAAGTATATGTTTTGCTGCTATTATATAAGAATAGGATAAATACGAGATGGATTAAATGGATTATTTTTGGTATAATTATGTCTGATAAAAGTGCTGATAGTTTTATTTAAACATTCAATGTTTTTATGAAAATAATTAATAATTATGCTCTAAAAGTTTTACTTACAGATAAAATTCATGCAATAATCAGGACGGTAAATCAAATATTTGAATCATTTAGAATAAAGCATATATTATATTTATAGTATCTTGTTAAAAAATGTAACAAAAAATTTGAATGAAACTTTAGAATTTAAATGATCAGAATTTATTAACTCTTTTTACAAATATATTAATGAATATGATAAAGAAGGATTTTAAAGAAGTGAAAATAATTAAAAATTAATTATTCTGCAACAGTTAAATATTTGTCAAAAATGGATAATAATTTAAAGTTTTGGACATTATATTATAATCACAAAATATTCATAACTAATATGATGATTACTGGAAGAAGAAAGTTAATGAATAATCTCATAAAAGGTTATATGGATGCTATTACATCACTTACTGCTTTTTTAAAGGCTTTTGAATCTGCTTTAGACTAAAAAAAAGAAGATTTAGAATTTGTGAAATTTTGAGAAGATTATATTAATATTAAATTAGTTACTAAAAGTCTTTACAAAAAATAAGCTATAGATTTGTTAATAAATTATGTTTTAAATAAAACTCAAAAATAACTACTTGAATACATAATATATAAATATGAAGAAATGGGGTCTTTGCAATAGAAAGGGAGGAAACTCAAAAAAAAATAAAAAATGAGTTAATAATAAATCTAAACAAATTATAGTATTTGGAACATTTTTGGCTTATAAACTAAAATTTTAATTTTTTTGGAGTTTCCTCCCTTTCTATTGCAAAGGTCCCAAATTATAAAATATAAATTTTATTATTTATTTATTTTAATTATACTATATTTAATTTACAAAAAATAATTTATTTATTATTTTAGTAATAATGATCAAAAAAAAGAAGTTAAATTTAATATAGAATGGTTTTAAAGTTAAGCAAAAGGATATATTATTAAATACAACTTAGAAAATTAACAATTTTTATGTACTTGTAATTACACAAGTTTTTTTGGTATTATTTGTCATCATATTTTTAAAGTTGCTTCTCAACTTAATTTAAAAAAGCTACACTAACATTTATTTCTTACAAGATGATGTAAAAATTTAAGTGATAATATATTAGTTAAAAAATATAAATCATTTTATAATGATATTGAAATAAATCAGGAAAATACCAATTATATTATAGAGGATGAAGATTATGAATACCTTTTAAATCAGGTTTAGTATAAAGTTTAGCAGGTAGTAAAAGCTAAGCATGAAATAGCAAAGAACTTTTATCTTATACTTGATAAATCGGTAAAAGAAGAAATTTCTTATGTTTCAAAAAAAAATCACAAGCCAGTGACAATAGTAAAAAAAATTAAAAACTCAGGAATAATAAAACTAAAAGATACTGAATATTTTTAAGTGTTTATTATTTTATTTACTTTATTTTAATATTTATTTATTTATTTAAATAAGAACGCACTTTAAAAAAAAGAAACAGAAGCCAATTTGAAACTATCAAACTCAAAATTCCTTTTAAAAGGCTTGCATTATACTAATAAAATGGTGAAATTGGATTGGAAGAAAAGAATAATCCTTAAGGTTTGACTTTAGATATAATATATGCTTTTATTTTTAATATTTTTTAATAGTTAATAATTAATTAATTATTTTATATTAGAAAATATTTTTGGAAAAGAAAACAATCATATAACTATAAATGCAATGAATTCTCAAAGTATAGATGAAATAAATTATTATTTTTTTAAAATAATTTTATATAATTATTAAAATTAAAAAATAATACAAGTAAAGAAAATAACTTTACAAATGCGTCATTCTTTTTATCAGGTTAGGTTTTTTTTTTAATGGTTAAGAAAATTATTATATAATTAATAATAAAATTTAATTATTTAATAGGCACTAAATGTCCTTTTTGTATGGAATTTTTATCCTATCCACTTCCATCAAAAATTTATCTGTTATTAAATAAAATTAGAATAAAATGGTAAGACTTTAATTTTAAGCAATTACTCCCAATATATATCGCAACAATACTATGCAACATGTGCTGGATTTTATTTATAATGCTAAACTCATTTTTTATTTATATTCACAAGAGGACTGCTTCTTATTTTGTGAAATTTACCATGCAGAAATAACTATTGTTCCTGATGGTATTCAAAAAGGTTATCCTATGGAAATTAATTTTGGAATATTAAAAACTTGAATAATTTAAATAAAAGACAAACTTCTTAATATTATTAATAAAAAAGTAGGAAGTTACTACTGGAATTTTTCTTTAGAGATGTGTAATAAAATTGGGATAAGAAAAGCAGGAACTTCAATGATAATAATGAATTATTTTGAAATTTTAAGAGTAAGTAATTTATATTTTGTTTCTAATTTTTTTTTAATCTATAGAATTTTAATTTAATTTAAATTTATTTTTATAGCCAGGGCATTATGGTTCCAAGGGTTTAAATATTATTTGTGATGTACTTTCAGAACTTTTTTTTATTTAATGGGTTGTTAACATATAATTTAGTTTGTTCAAAGAAGCCGGTAGATTTTTTGCAAAAAGTCTTGATTCCTGAAACTGCATTACGTTTGATTTCTCAGGATAAAGGTAATATAACACTTGAAGAAGCTAGAATAATTATGGAAGAAAGTTCCCATTTTAGTGATTATGTACATTCCCCTCCAAAAAATATCTGACCACTTGCCGATCATTTACCGATCATTTGAAATTATAGCTGATTTTGACGTTTATTACTTAACAATTTATTAATA